CAGCTCTATTTGCTATTATTATTTTTTTACACTGTGACTTCATTTTGAGTCTGACTGCTTTCACACAAAGATGATTGTAAGTTTCAACTCAATGAGAAAAGATTCCAAATAAAACGAAAATGTATTTGAGAAAATATATTGGAGAGAAAAATCTACCTTATACAATGAGGCTTCTCTCAGGAACAGCAGCAACTGAAACTGTGTGAAAGATTTAGAAATTACCACTCTTTCTTTCTTTGGCATTAGGTTCTAAGAGTGCCTATCGTAGAGAAGGTCCTGCTGTGCACCCAGAGGGAATGAATGGATACTCCCAGAGGCCAGGAAGAATCTAGATATACAGGTATTGCTGGCTTTCCCCACTTAGTCTATTAGCATTAGACCATACCCTTTTGTTCAGTCATATTTCTACACAGCTGTCTGTACTTAGTTGAACCTAATTATAAAAATGGATAATTTCTACTCTATTTTTGGGCCTTCATTCTGAAGTTTCCCATGTATACACATCCAATACATTAGTATTTCTTTTCTCCAATTACTTTGTATCTTGTCAGTGATTTTTTTCAGTGAACTTTCAGAGCACCAAGGATTCCCTTAGTCATGGCATGTCTGTGACATCTTTATAACATACTGTGACATCTTTTTTAGTCCTATGGTGTGGTTGCTATTTCCACTTTCTACCATTGTAGTTTGGTATATTAAACCTGTCTTCTAGAGAAAGGTTCACCCTAGTGCCAATATTTGTTCCAAATAAAAAAATCAACATTTGCACATTTCTCTTTGGAAGTTTTTATTGCTGCACCCTCCTTGGAGCCTTGAGACCATGTATGTTTCTGATAAGCTCCTCAAGACACGGGCTTTTTCTCACATTGATTGCATAATCTCTCTTATATGGGGAATCTTAAAAAGGTGTTAAATACACATAACTAGAGAATAAAACAGTGGTTGCTGGGAGTTGGAAAGCGGTGGTGGAGGAACCCCTGAGATTTTGGTTAAAGGATATAAAGTAGCAGATAACAGTAGTACCCCCTTATTGCTAGTGGATGTGTTCTAAGGCCCCCCAGGGGATGCCCCAAATCTTGAATGGTTCTAAATCAGTTGCTGCCAACTGGAACATGTTTCTGTTGATGGCATCAACCCACAGATCAAATGCCTTTTTTTTAAAAAAAAATTAAATCATAACTGTGTACATTGATGCATTTATGGGGTACGGTGTACTGGTTTGTTATACAATGTGAAATGCTTACATCAAATTCATTAACACATCCATCACCTTGCTTACGTACTTGTTGTGGTAAGAGAATTATACTCTTTTCTTTATAGTTTTGAAATGTACCCTTGCATTATGTACACTAGGTGAGGTCCCCCAACATGCCCTCCCTCCTCCCAGCCTTTTAAAATTTTAGCTAAGCACTTCTTAGGCACTCTGGTCATAACTTTTGCAATTTGTGGTAGGACTGCAAAATTTGTGAAAACTTTATTTTTTCTGCACTCATTTTCATGGATAGAAGTTTCATTTTTACTGTAGATCATAGCATCCTTAGT